AGCTCATCTCCCTGGCCAGAGCACCGCTTCTGCTCATTTTACTTCATCCATAACTGGCCCCCAATGCTTGATCAGTTAGCCAATGACAGGTAAAATTCCTCAAGGGAGGACTGACCTAAGGCAGGTACAATCATCTGGAGGCCCCAGGGAAGGACTTGGGGGGCTGGCTATGGAAAAAGGGGGTGATGGACCCTCTCCCCTCAGCTTTAACAAAGCCTGAGTCCTCAGTCTGTCTGCAAGAAGTCTCCGAGAATTCCTCGGCTATCTGCCTTCTCTGCCTGACTTAAGCCTGAACAATGACAGAGGGCAGTGCAGCCCTGTGCTGGAAGGGGCGGGCTCCCCGGGTGATCAGGCCTGAGAAAGGATATGTAAAATCCTGTGAAGCCTGCCTTGCTAAGAATGCTCTAAATTAAATGATAAGGGTCCAAGTAGGAAATGAGTTTGTTTCCCAAAGTTTTGTAGCCTCTTAGCTGATAGGCCCTGACTCAGAAGAAGCCCTAATAGTTCTTTGTTTGCTATCTACTGTTTGATCCTTACTGCCTGACAATGATGAATGAACTTTATCTGTATTCCTGTGCAAATTAAACCCAATAAAAGCCTGTCCCTAAAAGAGGGAGTAGCTGTGCCATCCCTTTTCCTCCACAGGACTCAGTGGTCCATGTGAATTTGTCTCATGTCTCATCCATGACGCCGTGGGCACTTCGGGCCGGTGCACGCATCACCACCTCTCTCCTGCTGTCCCTGTCCCTGCCAGCTGGGCTTCCCTGCTCCTGACCTGAGCAACCTCTCTGGGCAGGAGGGAAGTTCACCACTGGACAGGGAAGCAGGGCTCGGAGAAGCCTCTCCAGCCAGGAGCAGCGCAGGGCAAAGGTGGTCCGTCCTGGCAGGGATCTGGGAATGCCGGGTACCAGGAGCGGCCACCTTGGCCGGTTCGGTGCTCAGGCCCCACAGCGCAGCCCCCTTCCCAACGTGCTGCCCCGGTTGCCAGATGAGGCCCTGTGACCCTGTGGGCAGCAGCTAAGCTGCATTTCTAGGGGCACAAGAGCAGGCGGTGGGTGGGATGGAAGCAATTACGGTTGGGGAAGCAGAGAGATGGGGGCTGTGAGGGGCCGGCAGCAGCTGGGATGGGGAGGAGGAGGGGAACCCTCTCCACCCAGCTGAGAGGGTGGGACTCAGGGGATGGGGTTCCAGAGTGAGCAAACAGAGGTTCAGGGCCGGCACACAGAGCTCCAGGCCGGGGATCAGGATGGTTTGTGGTCTCCCCTTGTCACCAAGACACCATGACCTTGAGCAAACCCCTTCACACCTCCGAGCCTCAGCCTCCTTATGCAGCTTGTGGAAACCTGCCTGGTTGTGAGTCCCTGCTCAGCTGCTTACGAGCTGTGTGACCTTGGCCAAGTAGTTTAACCCCCCTTAGCCTCCATTCCTTCCTTATACACAGACTCACTGGAGGGGCCGGGCGAGGCTTCCATGAAGTGATGTCAGCAAATGCGGAGTGCACTGCTTATTTTTTTGTTTGCTTGGTTCTCTTTTTAGTGCATTGGGCCAGGCTCTTAATAAGTGCTTGCTTGATCAATGGTAATTCCATTGGCATTTGCTAAGTCCCTTTTTATTATAAGGATAGAGCTGGCAGAGGATGCATGGGCAGAGGACTTTGGACAGACCATGCGCACAAGGTGCCAACCCTGCAGCCCTTGGGACCCGCACCGTGGAGGGGGGGTTGGGCCCAAGGCAGAAGCACACTGGTCTCTGTCCTCTTTCCAGCCACCACCAACTGCCCTCCCCTCCCCACCCACACGGAAGCAGATCCCAGAGACGCTGGCCCACCCAGCCTTTGAGGCGAAGCTGTGGGAGGAAGAAGGGACTATCCGACAACCACAGCTGCTTCTAGCCTCCACAGCCGGGCCTTCCTCACACTTGAGGCCCCCTCGGACCCCGAGGGCCTCGCAGCCCAGGCCTGGGCAGCTTCCTCCCTGCTGGCCTGGGGGCAGAAGCCAGGGCTTCAGATTCTAGAGCAACCACATCATCCTTCTGCAGGGCAGCAGTGACGCAGAGAATGGGCTGCAGGGCTCCTGGCCCCAGGCAAGAGGCCAGGCCTGAAAGGACCCCTGCAACTCTGGACACTGACATCCCTCAGCCCGAGAAGCGGCCAACCCGGCAAAACCCCTTGGCAGAGTTTCAGCCCCTGCTGGGCTAGGGGCACCACTCGGAAACCCCAGGCACCTGGCTGTGGCCTGGGCATCACACACTGCTACTTTCACTCGTTGCTTCACTCAACAACTTCCTCTTCTGGAGGATAAAGAGAGTCTCTCACTCCCACACTCCCACACTCCACACAGGGAACACGTAGTGGTGAGGCAGGGTGCAGAGGCCAGGGGCAGCCTCGCTGGGGGGACCGAGAACACTCCTGCAGAGCAACTGGGGAAGGGGGTGACAGAGGAGAGAAGGCAACTAAGGACTGCAGCCACCAACACCTGCCCACAGTAGTCATTTCCTCAAAGCGACAGAAAGCTCAGGCCAAGGCCTTGTTATCAGAAGGAAGGAGGATCCTGTGGGCCAGCGAGCACTGCAGGGAGACGGCTAGCCACAGGGTCACCGAGGAGGTAGGAGAGAGGGAAGAGGTCCTGTACGGTTTCTGGGGGTCCCACCCCTCGGCCCTGGACAGCCCTGCCTTCCGGGGCCCTGCCTCCATCTCAGAGGGCCCGGGAGTTTGGCAAGGCTCTAGGGCAGCCCGGGTCACACTTTGTAAACCTGGCCCCGGGACACCCAAGCCCCCGATCTAGAGGGTCCCTTTCAGGACAGCGCCTGTGGGCTGGAACCAGTTTTTGGTGTTATTCTGACGTAGCATGACCTGCTCCCCGCCGCACCCCGGACACAGGTGTCAACCCTGGAACCACTTGGAGAGGTGAAGCAGCCGCTGCACTGGGGGCAGCCTCTCAGAGGACAGGCCCAGAGACGGCGCCCAGGCTGGGCCCGGGTGGGCACCCCACGTCGGGCCAATGCCAGGCCTGTGTGGCTTAACTGTGGAATGACCACAGCTTTAGCTGAGGCACACAGAAAGCCTTTCTGGCCTCTCTGCTCCTGCTGGTGATGGGAGTGTCATTTCCAGAAGTGTTTACAGTGCCTGAAAGGAGTGGATTTTTGGTTCTACCCAGAAACCTGGATCCGAGGAGGCTGAAAGGGCTGGGACGTGGCGAGGCCAAGGAACTGCTCCTGGGGAGTGGGGAGGAAGCCCCCGCTTTGGGTCGGGGAGGAGAGGCAGGAAGGAAAGGCAGCCCTGGAAGTGTCCTGGGCTTCCTGGGCCAGGGTCCCCACTCGAGGGGAGGGGCCCTGTCATCCACTCAGCAGCGAGTGACCCACTCCCAGCGACAGCCGCCTCTCAGCCCGAGGCCCAAGCAGGCAGCTTTCACCTTCCTCTCCTGACCTCTCCTTCCATCTAAACTCCCCTCCTAACCCCTGTCAAGTTGGATTCGGGGCAGGGGGTGCAGCCCTAACTGTGGCCCTCCTCAACTGTCAGACGGACCCAGGGCCCGTGGGACAGCCTAGGGTGTCCCACCCCGAGCGCTGACGCTGACAGACAGGCAGGAAGGGTACACGGAGGGGAGGCCGGAGCAGCCAGGGAACTGGTCAGAGGGGCCTGGGCCACCTCGGTCCGGGTAGCAGGTACTCCAGACCAGCTCCCAGCAAAGAGAAAAAGCCCCAGAGGTGCACTGCTGGGCCCCAAACGGCTGGCACCTCCCCGGCACCCTCTCTAGAATTATGGGGGCAGTTTTGAAAAGACTGTGGGGGAAACACCACTGAGAGCAAACACAGGCCTCTTCCTCTAGGCAGGCACCTTTCACAGCACTTAATGCCACCGACTTGCTTAAAATGCCCTCCCCCGCCACACACACACACACACACACACACACACACACACACATGCACACACGCCAGCGCCTACAGGAGGCTGGGCCAGCTGAGCACAGCTCAGAAGAGAGCAGCACTGGTGAATGCCTCTTGTGACAACCTAGCCTGTCCCAGGTCCGTTCCCAAGGCTCTGAAAGAATAAGTCTGCCTGAACTTGGCTTCCACACTGTGCCTCCCTCCAGCGGTGAAAGCGAAGGCTTCCCCGAGAGGGCTGTGGGGGTGCCAGTCTGTGGGTGGCCATGAGGTCCAACATGCGTGGCAAGCGCCCCTACCTTGCCTGCATGCCAGCCTTTGGGAAGGAGCCCCCAAAGCCGGGTCTTTGGGACCCCCTCTGTGAAACTGAGGAAGCAGCAGCAGCAGATCAAGCCTCCAATGGCCCAGAGGGGCAGGCCTCCCCCAAGACTGGAGATGGAGGGGCAGTGCTTGTCCTGGCAGACATGTTGGCAGCTCTGGGCTGGCCAACCCAGAGGTCCCTGAAGAAGGGGCAGGAGTGGGGAGGGGGCACGCAGAATAGACAGCTGACCCCAGGGGTTCTGTCCCCAGCAGTACCCCAACTTTTCCACAACCCCAGCCCTCCCCATTGCCCACCACCCAGGGAGCTCTGGGCCCAGGAGCCTAGGCCCGAAGACCCCCACAACGTGGTCCCCGAGTCCCAGGGCACAGCCAGCCTGCAGCTAGCAACCTCCGCCTTCGGACTGATTCTGCTTGCTGACCTTCCCACGGACCCGCCAAGCCTGTCACCTCCAGAAAGCCAGCCCGAGGACCCTCCTGGGCTGGACGGGGCACTTGTGAGAGAAACGAAGGCTGGGAGGATGCTGAGGGCGGGGCGCCTCTCAGCCTGGGCGCAGGGTCGGGGCTGGAAACTTTCGGGGTAAGAGGACCGTCCGGTTGACTCCTTCCGAGAGGGCGAAAGAGACGGCTTCCCGCGAAAATCAGGGAAGGGATCCCAGGCTTCGGCCGCCCACCCGGCCCGGCCCCGGCTGCACCCACGTGCCGGCCAGAACCCCTGGCGGCCGCGCGGGGCTGGGGGCCGGCCGCGGGCCGCGGGCGCACCTCTCCCCGGGCCCCGGGGCCCCGAGGCGCGTACTCACCCGGGCGGGTGGGGCGGGGCGGGCGGGCGGCTCCGCGCGACTCCGATCCGCTAGGCGCGCGGCGGGCGCACTGGCTGGCGCTGCGCTCGGCGGGTCCCAGTCCCAGTCCCGGGCGCGGGGCCTGGGGCCGGGGGCCGAGCCGGGCCGGGCGAGGCGGGGCGGGGCGGGGACGCCCCGGACACGCGTGCGCACACCGCCGGGCGCGGGTGAGGAGCGGGCGGGCCTGGAAGGAAGGGCGGGAGGAGGAGGAGGAGGAGGAAGGGCTGGACCCTATCGCGGGCGGGGCCGCGGCGGCAGCGGGGAAGGGTTGGGGTGGGGGCGCCGAGGGCCGGGAGGGTGTCAAGGGAGAGCCCGGGGCCGTCTGACGACGGCGCCAGGAGGGACGAGCCCGCGCGGCCTCCGCACGGCCTCCCCGAATCGGTGAAGCCCCAACAAAGGGTTCCCCGCTCCCCCAGGCGGCGAGCCTCGTCCTCCCTCACTCGGGAAAGTGAGGCAGGAAGGGCAGGCCTTGCCCGGGGAGCCCACCGCCTGGTGCACGGCGGCCCACTGCCCTGAACCGAGACCTGGGCGCTTCGTCTGCCCTAGTCTGGACCCGCCACCCCCAAACTGGAACCGTTTGGACGCCTCGTTTGCACACCCTGACTTGGACTGGAGACAGCTTCTCAGTTTCTGTTCCTCGGGGAAGAGGAAGGCGCCAGGCATCCTGTCTCCAGGGGAAACCTCGTCAGGCCCCTGACCCTGGTTCACGGGGTCCAGACTTCCCCGGTCGAACCCGGGAGCTGGCCAAGCAGGAAGACCGCAGTCCGGAGTCACCTGCACGGCCGTCCACAGCCTCCAAGACGCCTTCCCGGGGGAACAGTGTTCACTGCGCCCCTGCGTGCACAGCCTGGTGCCGAGGGCTCCGGGCGGCCCTGCCTCCGGGAAGCCTGCTGTCCAGCCCCGCGGAGAAGGCGACGGCGGGCTCCCCTTCGACACGAGGCCAGGGCCCTGGCCGTGTGGCTGGGCACGTCGGGTGACCTCCTGCAAAGCGAAAGGTCCCTGATTTCTCTCACGCAATATTTCTGTGTCTCTATTTCTCTCTCCCTTCCCCTCTATCTAAAAATAAATAAAATCTTTTTTTAAAAAAAGGCAGAGCAGGATGTGACTAAGTGTAAAGAGTAACTGATGGTGAGTGTGAAGGGATTCTGAGAGTTCGCAGCTCAAGGCTCCCTCCAGGTGAACCCGGAGGCGAACAGAGGCAGAGGGCGCTCCCAGACAGGGCCCGGCCCCGGCCTCCAGCCCACGGTGCACCCTGCGTGGTTTTTGCTCCGTCAGCGTTTTACTCATGGTTGAATGGTGCCTTTGAGACTGTCAGCCAAGCATTCACTCGACAAATATTTAACGCTAACAAATACCTATCGCTAACACTAAGCCAGGTAGAAAGAACACAGTGACTCAAGCCCCTGCCTTCAGCAGGCCTAGAGAGAGAGGCAAGGGCCTCCGTGCTTCAGCGGTGGGAAAACGGCCGGAGCAGCTCAGCAAACCTGGAAGAGCTGAATGGAGAATCAGCCCTGCTTCTTCTTCTTCTGTTTATCTTCCTATTGGGTTAGTTTTCCATTGCCATTCCGTCCCCGCACACCCCTCACTAGATCTGCACAGTCTGCAATTCCTGCCCTGACCCATATAAGCGCCACCTGGCCAGGAAGCAGGACTGAAGGGCCCGCTTCTGCGCCGAGGACCTGAGCGACAGCTAGGCTGCTGTCACTAGATAGCTTTAGTTTCCTTTCTAAGGAAAACAAAAAAAAAGGAAATAACTGCCATCCAAAGGGATATTGTTGGTATTAAGTCAGGCAATGGATTTGAATTCACTCTGAAAGTATAACGTGTTACAGAAGTGTGGCTGTTACTAGGCAGGTGGATGCACCCTCCCCTAACCAATAAGCTCTAGTTAGAGCCCTTCCGACCCCCACGCACCACACAGAGGCGATCGCAGGACAGTTACTGGGAGCTCAGAAGCTGACTCTGAGCTCCCTCCCTGACGCCACAGTGAGCTTACACGTGCTCCTTCCCCTCTAGTTTTTCAGACCAGACCAGACCAGACGGCTCAGACTAGATGCTTAGCTATCTGCCAAGAGAGCTATCTGCCCAGAAGCCGTCTCCTCTGTGGTGCAGGTGGGAGGAATTCCGGTGCCTTCAGTCCCCGGCTCTGGGGTCTGCAGCCCCACCTCCACTGCACCCCTCCAGCACAATACTGTGAGCTGCTCAGCAAGAAGCCGTGTGCTAAGGCTAGCAGTGCCAAGGGTGGGTTAAGATAACCTGCGGAACAGCCATCTGGGTCCTCCTCTCAGCCACGCTGCCTCCATTCCCATTCCTCTGCCTCTGTTTACCTCGCTGAGTCTGTCTCCGCTGTGGAGGAAGGGAGGGCGCCTCTCTGCTGCAGGTGGGAGCAGAGGGAGAAGACAGAGGAGCAAAGGTGCATGGGAAGGGCAGGTGCATCTGCAGCCAGGAAGCCCTAGCCCGAAGGCTCCTCCCTGGCAGGCAGTGGGCGTGGGGAGGAGGCACCGAGCCCCTTGACACGCGTGCCTGGCCGGCCTCTGGCTCCTGTCCCTCACATGTGCCACGTTAGCATCCTGCCCACCCGGAGGAGGGAACGGCAAGATGCTGTTTGAGGAAGAAATAAACCCAATCCAGCATCTCAGACGCTTTTAAAAATAGCAACTCCAGGATAGTGTTTCAGCTCCTATTTTTATCAGATTTACATGGCTGGACCATGGAGCGGAGCTGTTCCCAGGGTTCTCAATAGCAGGGACATCACTGTTGTCGTCTTAGCAACCTGCCCGCTGGCCGAGGCTAAAGTGCATTCCAGGAACTTTTGAGCTGGTAGAGGTCCCAAGGAGTCACTGTGCCCGGCCCTTGTGTCTGTGCAGGGCTGAGGACAATGGACCACAGGGGGCATACGGCTTCCTTTTTGCCTCAGAAGTGTCTTGGCTGCCACAACTCTACTGCACCATCTAGGGTTACCCAGCCTTTGGTCGGGAAGTTCCTTTTAATATCTGGCACAAGTATCTCTGGTGACATCCCTGTTGGCCTTTTCTGCAGCAGGAAGGTAGCAGCTACTGTTTACTGTGCGATTACTGTGCCCATAAAACTGTCACACAACCCTCACCTAATCCTTCAGGATTAGCACCGGGACCCCTCCCAGTGTCTGAGCCGTCACCTAACTTGTCCAAGTTCATGCTGGGGGATGGCGCAGGTCCTGGGCTGTGCCATCAGGCCCCCTGCCTCTTGAGCAGAGGGGTATGGGGTGTTCAGAAATGCCTTGTTAAAAATAAGTCAATAAGTTAATAAGTCAATATATAAATCAGTAAGAAAACAAACCAAGAGAAATGTTTTGTTAGCCCTGACTGGGGGCAGCTCAGCTGGTTGGGCACCATCTGGAAGCCAGTGCTCCGGCCCGCGGAGCAATCAACTGGGGCTCGACCACCTACCTAGAACAAATGGGTTGGGGGGACAAGAGGCGCGAAGAATGGCAGCAAGACAAAAGATTCTGATCAAGCTGCAAACTTTATTTTTCCGAACTGGGTATATATATAGGGGGGGAGGGAGAGGAAGGAGATTAGGTTGCTTGCTATTGGCTAGCTTGAGACAAAGAAGGGCCCGCTTATTGATTACTTGGGTGCAACTGGTACTCGTGGACACCTCATGTACCTGTAGCCGATTGGCTCGTGGAGCGCACAGGTTCCTGTAATCAATGCAATGTTTTTAGCTAGAAGCCAGGTGTAAGGTTCCCAACAAGCCAGGAGCCACCAGGTTCCATTCCTGGTCAGGGCTCGTGGCCCCTGGTCAGGGCGCCTTTGAGACGCAACCGGATCAGTACTTCTCTCTCACATCAATGTCTCTTTCCCCTCTTTCTCCCTCCCTTCCCCTCTCTCCGAAAATAAACACAATAAAATCTTTAGGAAGAAAAAGGAAGGGAGCCTTAGGACGCTCGCTGTAGACTGACTTGAACTAAGCATGGAGAACAGGAGGGCTTCGGGCAGGGCCCGTCAGCCAGCGAGCCATCCTTGCACCCCGCTGTTGCTGAGTTGCCTAGGAGGAGCCGGCCCGCTCTCACTTCAGAACTCAAATACCCCAGCGCCGGCCTTCTCTCCTATGTCTGAAGCATCCTATAACCAAATGCTGCCTCCCCGTCTTTGGAATTTTCATGCTGATGTGAATCCCCCAGGTGCATGTACTGGAACTTGGTTTGCTCTGTCAATCCCTTTGATTTGATGACTAGCCAGCTAGAAGAACTTAGCAGGTGGGAGGGAAAGTGTCTGTATATACATCCCCCACACGAGCCCTGATATCCACCTTGGTGCTGAAGGAAAAACTCGCCAGCGAGCTGTGTGTGTGTGTCCCGTGCGAGAAGCTGAGAGCTGGGTCGCAACCCTGCTGAACCCCAGGCGCTGACGCCCCGGCCCTTGGCCATGCCGGCCCTTCGGCCATCTAGTTTTAGCCTAGAAGTTTGGCTTCTCTCAGCATACACTCCTGTAGCCCCCTCTGTGTTTTTCAAGGCACTAGCCACTCTTGTAATTTGTTTGTAATTACTACCTCACTAAATTGTAAGCATCATGTGGATTCTACCTCCCGATTCTTACTTTAAAAAGTACGGTGGATATTCAAAACCCGTGTATTAAATTGAAACACATTAAACAAATTCAGTCCATGCTTATTTTTTTAATGGTGGTTAAAAATGGATAGCTTCAAGTTTATATAGATTTCAGAATCCAACGTGATTTCAATAGGAACAGACACAGGACTGTCAACATCTGTTTTGCTAAGTGAGGATATTTGAAACACAGTAGCCACTAATTATCACTGGCTTCTTATAAAAGACATTTTAACATTACATATACCTGTTTGGATTACACATTTACTCCTTCTGAGAGGGAAGAGTTAGCAGACCTGCGGCCACCTACTCAGAAGTAAAATCGGTACGTTACAATGTTTGGAATGTTTGGATATAGAAGTAGAACAAAAGACACACCTTCAGATGTTATTTTGTATGTAATTGTTTCTTGATTTCTCAATTTGGGGATCTGTATTCCACAGAGACATGCCAAGTGGAGCTTAAGTGTCCAACTCATTTCCAAATGTTGTTTTTCTGTTTCATGAAGGAGTGTTGATAAATAGAGAACAGTCAGCAATTTTGCTACATGAGGAATGTTTTGAGCAAACTGAGAGGAGCCCAGGAACAATAGCAATCAAGCCTCCAACTGTTCCTTTCCTTCGCCAGCCGCCAGCCGAGCCAGGGAGAGACCGGGTGGAGCTGGGGACCGGCAGCCTGCCATGGAGCCTCCGGGACTGCTCTGGGCGGCATCTGCCACTGCCCCGGCGGAGCGGGACGCAGGCATGCACATCGGAATCACGCACCACACAGATGTGCCCCCCGCCCCCACTGGAGAGACTGGTACGTGCTACTTTGTCAAGGTGGGGCTCAGGAATACTCAGCCTTACTCAGGAAGCTCTCAGGGAAGGCAGGGTGTTGGGTTCTGCTAAGTGGTAAGGAGGAGTAAGGCAGAGGAGTGGCCCCTCGTCTGCATCTCCCGGACTGTGTACCAGGAGTTGGATCCAGAGCCCGGCTCCCTATTTGCAGGTAAAAGCCCCCACGTGGTGGCTCAGTAGCTGCCACCTGCTCCAGCCCACGGTGCCTGTGGTGGAGGAAGCTGCTCTTGGACCCCCGTGGTCCCTGGAAACAGAGGCACCCTGGAAATGACAGGGAAGTGGAACATGTGGTCAGAAAGAGAGGACACCTGCTCCAAGCCCCCTGCGCAGGTGTGACAGAGCAGGTGTGACAGAGCTCTTCCCCGCAGCTCTTCCAGAGTCTGAGGATTCGGGTAAGGCGGCACTGCAGCAGAGGAACTAGTTCAGGGGGGGACAGAGGCGAGCAGCTCTCTGTGGGACCAGGGTCAGGAGGGTCCGTCAGGGTCCACCACAGCTCTGAGCAGCTGTTTAACAGAGTAACGGTGACTATTCCCATGAGAGGTGGCACTGGCCACGGGTGGGGTTTCTGGGGGAGCCTTTCCAGCCTGTACGAATGCTCCCTCCCTGGGTCTCGGTTGC